CAGAAATGTTTCTTGAGCAGCAAATCAGCATATTAGAATGATTTCTGAAGATCATGTGACACTGAAGACTGGCGTAATGATGCTGGAAATTCAGCTGCACATCACAGGAATAAATTACATCACAATAATATTTCACAATATTACTGCTTTTACTGTATTTTTGATCAAATAAATTTGATCAGATTTGGTGATCTTTAAAAACGCATTAAAAATCTTACTGACCCTGACATTTTTAACAATAGAGTACATGTAAACATAAATAAAAACGAATAAAGACTGCAAGAGAAACTTGATGTGCAGAACTTGCAGTTTAAAAATAAAACAATTAAACATATTAAAAATAAAGTGAAATAATATAATAAAATTAAAATTATATTTATACATTTATATTCAAACAAAGGTCAGGTTTGAACAGAACGTACAATGACAAAGACAAATTCTCAACAATTATTAAATAAATTGTTTAATTTGAGTAAAAGTACAATTTAAGCAGTTTAAAAATAAAAATTATTTAAAAATATATAAAAATAAAATTTAATTATAATAGAATTAAAATGATAAAATGTTCAAACAGAAAAATTCAATGACAAAGACAAATTCTGAAAAATATTATTAAATAAAATGATTTAATTGCAGTAAAAGTAAAATGTAAGCAGTTTAAAAATAAAATTAAATCTATAAAAAATTAAATTATAATAGAATTAAAATTATAAAATGTTTGAACAGAAAGTTCAGGTTTCAACAGAAAGTACGATGACGAAGACAAATTCAAAAAACATATTATTAAATGCAATTATTTAATTACAGTAAAAGTAAAATGTAAACACTTTAAAAACTAAAACAATTAAAAATATATAAAATGAAAATTATGATAAAATTAAAATGAAAATTTGTTCGAACAGAAACTTCAGATTTGAACAGAAAGTATGAAAAAGGCAAAGTTATTCTGAAAACAAATTATTATATCTGTCTAAAAATGATTAAATTAATTTAAGTAAATATTAAATAAATTATTATTAAATAAAAAATTCAAAATAATAAAATTCAAAAGAAAAATTATTTAATTTCAATAAAATCAAAATACAAGCAGTAAATATTTAGAATGTAATACAATTATAATAAAATTCATTTGCAGCCCTGAGACAATTTTCTACTGCACTAAAAAGTGTCTTAAAACAACATGCACAATAAATAAATAAATAAATAAAGACATGAAGCATCAGTAAACTGACAAGTGCACTAGTAACATAAAAACATTCCAGGCAATCATTGTGAACCACACCTGTTGGCCCGAACAAACAATACAGACAGAAAGCACTAAACATTTATGTTCGCCTGTTTTTACGTCATTCAACAAGCAAACATTACTCAGCTCAGACAGATCGGAGACAAGACTGCAAAACACACACACACACACACACGCACACACACTTCATGACTGTATACGCTGCTGATCCTAATAAATCAAGATGCTGATTCCTGTGGTTCACGTCCAGGAGACTCGTCTTTTAACACCTGTATTCTCTCCATCTGTCTTTTCAGTTCTTCATGTCAGATATGAGCTTTCTGGAGCCCTGAGGGACATTACAGGCGTCTTACATCAACATTTACTGCTACGGTGTGTTGAAAACAGGACAGACGCCATTTAAAACACCTCCATAAAACCAGTGAAACTACAGCAAACTCCTACAGAATCCATTCATGCACCTGTTGACAAGATCAGCTGCTCTTTCCAGCACGTTAAGGGTTAAAAAGACGCTTGTTTTGGCCTGTCAACACCTTCCTGAGCGAGTAAACGCTCACTTTAGGATCAAGAGCGCGCGGCGTGCCAAAAATCTCATTCACTAGAGAGGCAGTAAATCTGTCTTACCTTCAGCCGCGGGACACAGAGACAGTGAGACGCCTGTCACACACCTGTCTGTGTGTGTGTGTGTGTGTGCGTGCGTGATAATATATGATATATAACTATCTAACAGATTACTCTGTTGCTCTCTCTCTATCTATATATATATGTGTGTGTGTGTGTGTGTGCACAGCTTCATCCTGAGAGACTCTTGCAGTCAGTCTGTAATTAAACTGTACGTGTCTCCAGCAGACTGTTGTTGAACTGAAATACATGCATGCAGTCACAGATCAACATTTCATTCAGGAACACCTGGCGCTGTTTTCTGCTTAAAGAGACTGAAGAACTCCAAGTTGGTTCGAACAGTTTGCTGACCCAATGTTTAGTTCATCTACTGCCCCCTACTGGACACTACTGGAGATCTGGAATATTAAATAAAAGTATATTACAGACTTTTCATTAAGACCCTAAAGAATCATATCAACTTGTGGAAAATGGGCATCAGATGACCCCTTTAAGTCATATGTAAGAAGAAAAATATAAGGATATTAGGTCATTTTATCCTGACTGCATTTAGATGAAAACTTTGGAATAATTTCTGTACAACATATCAGAATTTAACTTTTATGTGGGCTGTTTTTTATTTTATGTTGTCATTAATTTAGTCATTTAACAGACATGAAAAGTGCTTTAGCTTCTCATGAGACTGACATTAAGAACATTAACTGTTAAGAAAACAGGTTCTTCCTTTACAAATACAAACAATTACATAATACTCCTAATGCAAGTGAGCGAGTACAAATATAGTATAAAGCAAATTATAGTAGATTTTTAGGTTGTATGCATAGTGTTGTATTTCAATTGAAATTGATATTTCATGTTAATTCATTTTACTAAAAAAAATAAATAAATAAAAACTTTAAACACTTGACCTTGTTCAGAGTGTAACATCCCCCGGCCAGCAGAGGGCACCAGTGACCAACACTGACACTCAGAACATCAGCTGCAGAAGAAGAAGAAGAAGAAACAACAACAACAACATCAGCACAGCATTTGAATGCAGATTGTCAGTGTGAGTGTGAACCACACAAACACAGACAAGTGAACAGAAATGAAGGTTTTGTCAGTGCTGTGGGACAGACACGGGCCTGTTCTGAACATTAGGTCAGTTACTGACATGCTTAAACTCAGCTGTAGATGCAGTTTAACAAATACAGTTATTAATGCCAGGCCAAATTAACTCAAATAAAACAATAAGCAACAAGAAGATGTATTACAGTTGTTTTATCATGGTTAATGCATGCTGTTATGCAAAGTACAGAGATATGATAAAAGACACCAGTGTTCAATACGTAATTAAACATATTAACAGAGTAAACAGAAGATGATCTAAAACAAGACCTAAAACATTTGTGGACTGTGTTAGGTAACGCTTTTAATCTTTTCAGAATTGGAACAAACATTTCATTAAAATTGATTTTGCACAATATGTCCATAAGTCTAAAACAGCATTTTTTTTTTTAAATTTTTTTTGGTTTGAAATGTAGTTTAAACCTGGAAATAAATGCAAGCAAATTTGTAACAAGAGAGTGGGATAGTTATGTTCTGTTCAGAAAATGATTTTTTTTTTAAAAGATAATACTAATAATATAAGTAAAAGACATTATTCAATTCTTGCACACTTTTCACTTAAAAAAATTAATTAATTAAAACAAATAATAAATATATTTAAATACAGATTAAAACTGACATTCTCAAATCCACTTAAATCTAAATAAGAAATATAATTTTACAAAGATAATGTTATAATTATGCTCATTAAAACAACAACAACAACAGCAATAATAATAATATCAGCAAAAATATATAGGCTATATTATCAATTTCACAAGAAATGTTTTTGAAAATATAAGTAACAATATAAATAATATAAAATATATTAACAGAATAAACAGAAGAGCTAATGTTCAAGCTGTATGCTAGAAGATAATTGGTGGCCATAAAGACAAATAATTGCATTTAATCAAATTGTAAGAAGTGCACTTACTTGCACAGCATATGAAAACTTTATAGAATTAACTAAATATCAAGTGTCAGCTCAAATGCTGCATAACTATCTTTTCATTAACTTACACGTAGGCTATGATGCTTTTATCCAAAGCTACTTACTAATGAGGAACATGCAGTTCACAGTTAAAAATAATACACAATGCCATGTTTATTAGAAAGCTAGAACAGGAAACAAAGAGCAATGGCTTTGTTTTTAGTGAATGTATGAAGTCAGTAGAGCCGAGTAGATTACTTGTAATCCATTACTGATTCCAAAGTACATGACAACAAGTAACGTAATCCGTTACATTACACATTTTAGGTAATATAATCAGACTACTTTTAGATGATATTTTTAAACATGATATTATGTCAAGGTTTGAAAGGGGTTTATGAGTTTAGTGAAGAGCTAATGATTCATTAAATCATAAAAATGTTAAATTAAAATCAATAATTTTAAAATCAATCAAAATAGAAAAAAAATTTTTTTTTGTTTGCCTGCATGTCATGTGATCATAACCAACGTCAGGGAACCAAATAACACGCAAATGTGAAACTAATTATTAAAATATTTATTTTTAAATCTCAGGTGTGCTTCAAGTAAATATATAGCCTACTATAGGTGAAAGAGAATCAGATGACAAAAAAAAAAAAGTTTGTGCATTTTAATGCGTTTGAAAGACAAAAGCCTCCCAAAGACAGAGAAATGCATGGTTAAATAACCTACAGAGTGGTGATAATTCAGATAAAAATGAATGTGTTCATCAGTAGTTCATCTCTTGCGCTATATTTGTTTAAAATAAACGCCACATGGTTATGCAACGCAATGACATTCACACATTTTTAAGTGTACAAACACTTTCAGGTGTCGCCATTGCAAAGAAACGCGAAGCCTCGGCAGTTCTTGTCACTAAGCGTTTATTTATTTCATTTAACAGTCGTGATAGAGCTTCAGGGCGTGTGTTTCGCCGAACTGGGCCGGTGGTTCGTGTTTCTCCACCCGTTTCCATTCGCCCAACCCCCACTTACCACAAAAGCCCGCCCTTCTTCAGTCAGTTCAGACGCGGCGTCACGCGCGTCATCACGGGACTTGTAGTCCGCGGCGTGTAGAATCCCAACGCACGCCGCGCGCTTCGAAACTACAAGCCCCAAACGTCACCACGCCCATCCAATCTGAATATGTGGGAGGGGAGCGTCCGCCCACAAAAGCCACAGCAATTTTTTAGTGTGCCTCAAACGCAATTGTGCATCAAAAAAGTGAATTCCGCCGAATATTCTCACACAAATACATCCGGGATAGAAAAAAAGCGGAGCGGAATAGCCCGCGCGTGATGGTTCGGCATTCATAGATATTTAAATTGAAGTGGGTGGGCCTTCGCGCAGACGGAGCTCTCTGACAGATCCGCGCAGGAATATTATTTAACTCCGGATCTAACAGCGCAGATAAGGCACGCTTTGGGACCGCCACCGTTCGACCCGACCCGCTCGGACTCGCCTGGCATTTTGTGCTCCGTTATTGACGGGTGTTTTTGCATTGGCACCGCCCTTCCTGGCGGGGTGGGTCCGTGCGTCAGAGCTGCGCCACACTCTGCGGCCGCTGGAGAAAATAGGCCGTCCTTCTGCTGGGCTGCTGCCTGCCTTCCACGGCGTCCGGCCTTTTTTCCTCTTAAACAACTCCTCTCCGGGTTTCATTAATGCGGAATGAGTGGTACGTACCCTCCCCTCCTTATGCGTCTCCACCCCTTCATTCTCCATGCGTGCGTCTGTGCCATCTATCCATCGCTGTCCCCCGACTTTAATGCGGGATCTGCTGTTTATCTGTGCCCATTGATCAGTTTTTGGGTCTTGTGCAATGCCTGTACGGGACTGGAGAGCTTGCTTTGATGTGTTTAGAGGTCTAGGAGGTGTTGCATTATAAAACCTGAAATTTTTTTTTTGTCATGCTTTGCATTGCATTTAATTTCCAACTCCCAACTCTTGCTTTGGGTTTGACATTTGACTCTTTACAGATCAAAAGAAGCAAGCCATGGCCACAGATGGGGGGAAAGCAGGCGGAGGTGAAGTTGGGACGAAAGGGAAAAGTTCTGGATTGCAGGTATCACAAATGTCAAGTTTGACTTGTTAAGTGCCCACTTGTTTCTGCACCAAAAGCACTTCCTGATTATTATTGCAGGGCGCTTCGGTGCACAGTTACACACACTCACACTGTTCCTGTCTTAACCTGTTATGCTTCACAGTACTTCGATAAAGCATTTGTGAACTGTGTTAGGTAACGCTTTTAATCTTTAGCATTTCAGAACTGGGACAAATGTTTCATTATAATGATTTTGCACAAACATGCAGTGGTGTCCAAAAGTCTAAAACTGCATTCTTGTGTTTGACATCTGGTTTTAACCTGGAAATAAACTGAAAATCGAAGGCAAAGAAAGACAATGGCATCAAATAAAAGATAAACATTTAAATATATGCTCTGTTTCCTGGTCACCAATTAAATGTAAGCAAATTCGTGACAACAGTACTTGATAATCATGTTTTGTTTATGTCAGCTCCATTAAAGCAAAAACAAATAAATAAATAAGAAAAAGACATTCTTGTACATGTTTCACTCCAATTTTGTAAATATAAATAATGTAATAACATAATATGTATAAATATAAATAAGAAATATAATTTTTGTGACGACAAAGAGAGCATAATAATTATTTGTTCATGTCAGCTCCAGGTTTGCTGTCATTAAAGCAAAAAATAAACAAGTACAATAAAATAAATAATTAATTAATTAATAAAATAAGATAAAAACTTTCAAATTCTTGTACATTTTTTCACATAAATATATTTAATTTGTAAATATAAATATGAATAATAAATATAATTTTTGTGACAACAAAGATAACAATCATGTTTTGTTCATGTCAGCTCCAGTGCTGTTGTCATATTAAAGCAAAAAATAAATAAATAAATAAAAATAAAATAAGCAGAAGATATTTGCAAATCTTGTATATGTTCAATCAGATATATTTATTATAATATAATATGCATAAATAATTTTTATTTATTTACAAAGAGGATGTTCAACATTTTTTTCACGTCAGCCCCAGTGCTGCTGCTACTAAAATAATAATAATATTATGAGCAAAATATATTTTCAACACTAGTGATTTTAGACTTTTGCAACCCACTATACTTGAAATGTTTGTGTGTGTAGTATTTATGGGTTAGTTTTAACAGAAAAGCCTTCGAATTAGTTTTTTTGAGTGAGTTTGTCTCTGGAGGCCTCGATTGTGAAATGGAGAGACTGTGGTTCACACGCCCACTTACTCTTCCTGTGAACCCGCCCACATCTGCTGACACTGACATCTCACTGTGTGTGTGTGTGTGTGTGTGTGTGTGTGTGTGTGTGTCAACATTTTTTCACGTCAGCCCCAGTGCTGCTGCTACTAAAATAATAATAATATTATGAGCAAAATATATTTTCAAGTTCTTTATTTTCACTCAAATATATTTAATTTGTAAACAAATATATATATATATATATATATAGTATAATTTAGATTAAATTAAAAATAAATATTACAATAAATAATTATAAATAATATTATATTTATATAGTATAAATAAGAATGAAATATAAATAAATATTTATAAAACAATAGTTATAAAACAAATAATAAAATGTAAATTATAATGTAAATATCTATATATTTGCAAATATTAAATATTATTTGTCATGGAAAACATTTTAGATTCAGCAGCAGGTGGGGCTGGCGGCCAATGAGGGCGCGGCGGGGCGAAAGGTCAAGGTGGTGGGTTCGAATAACGCACCTGGCTCACAGCAGCATCAGCAGTTTCAAATCATCCAGGTGCAGAATCTGCCGAACTCGTCAGGCGGGATCCAGTATCAAGTCATCCCGCACCTTCAGACCGCCGACGGACAGCAGATCCAAATAAGCCCTAGTAACCCCGCAACCTTAAGCGTCCAGCCCGAACAGATCCAGCTCATTTCCACTGGAAACAACCAAGCCATTCTGGCCACGCCCCAAAGGGCGGGATCAACCAGCATCGTCACGCAAAACCAGACGATTCCGCTTCAGATCAGGCCGTCGTTTCCTTTGCAGCTGCAAACCATTCAGGGTACGCAAGCGCCTATGGTGACCACGTTACCCATTAACCTCGGCGGCGTGACTTTGGCGCTGCCGGTTATCAATAACATAGCTGGGGGCGGAGCTTCAATTCAATTCGTCCAATCGGGCGACGGAAGCATTTCCAACGGAAACCAAGCAAGCACAGCAGAATCCACAGGCGTTTCGACGTTCACGACGACCAGCGATACGATCGTCGCGACGTCTACGGATGCTACAGCACCCGCCGGAACTGAGAGCCAGAAGGACGGTCAGTCGGGCGAGTCGGACGCCCAGAATCTGGCTCAATCCAACGGCCTGCAATCCGTGTCCGAGCAGGCCGGCCAAATCCAGCAATTCCAAATCGTGGGCCATCCGGTTCTCCAGCAGATCCAGATCCAGTCGCCCCAACAGCAAGTAGTCCAGGGCTCCATACAGATCCAGCCCGGCCAGACTTTACAACCGATGCAGCAGAACCTCCAGCTTCAGGCCTTCCAGAATCCCACGCAGGTTCTGATCCGGACGCCCACGCTCACCCCGTCGGGACAGATCAGCTGGCAGACCGTCCAGGTCCAGAATGCGGGCGTGCCCCAGCAGCTGACACTCGCCCCCATGGCGTCGAACGCAAGCGGGGGGACGTTCACTCAGATCGCCCCGCTGACGCTCGGCGGGTCGCCCATCACGCTCAGCGCCGCCCAGCTGCCCTCTGGGACCGGGGTGCAGACAGTGAACATCGCAGGTTTGGGGGCGGCTGGAGTCCAGGTGCAGGGCGTCCCGCTCACCATCACCGGCATGCAAGGTAAGCCCCTCCCACCAGTCATGTGACACCTAGTGAAGAAGGCCAGTTATCTTCATAAATAATTTAACCATTTATTAAAGCAATAAGCCCCAAGAAGCTGTGGTTTACAGTGAATTTATAACAGCTAAGGGACGTTACAGCACAATATTTGACCGAATGGGTAAAAATGACAAATTATTTTCGTCAGTTACGGCACGTTAGCGCTAGCATTCTGCCTGCTTCAAATCATACACAGAGATGAAATAGTGCGGTAAGACCACATTTATTTGAATGAATTATAGCATGTATTTCAATTAATTATCGATCGATCGTTTGAGAGAGAGAGAGAGAGAGATGACAGTTGTGTGTAGCTGCGTCTGCGCGTCTCTCTGTACAAAAAGCTGTGGTTTACAGTGAATTTATAACAGCTAAGGGACGTTAATAGGCACGACGCAAAGCGGAGTGACAATAACATAACAGTGTTATAAATTCACTGTAAACCACGGCTTCACGGGGCGTATTGCTTTTATAAAACGGTTATTCCATATACGTAGTAAGGTTTCACAAAC